CAGAGGCGGAGGCCGGTCGGCCGGCAGCTCTTAAAGGGACGCCCACAGCTCACACGCTCCTCCTGCTGCCCGATCCTCCACGAGCCTCCCGCCGGAGCTCAGCGCGCGCCCTGCCGGCTCCGGGAGGGCTGCAGCCAGAGGGATGCCAAGGGCTGCACACCCAAGTGCCAGCCAGAGAGCAGAGCCAGTGCCGCTTGAGGGCAACCTGGGCGGGTGAAGCTCTACACGTGGTTCCCCTTCTAGACTGCAGAATGGCTAGGATCACTCCTTTTTTGGAGAGGAAGAAATCCGGCTCAGGGAGGTGACGGTTCTAATCATTTTCTGGAGTTTATACCTGACTTCACAGTTTACAGAGGCCTTCACCTTCAGAGGAAGCACGGATGCTCCATCGCAGGCTGTGTGGGAAGCACCGGAGGCCATCTGGCCCAGTTGTGGGGGCTTGACAAGAGCGATCGGTCCTAGTTTATAGACCTGTGAAAGGGCAAAGGAAAACTTCACCCCTGGGTCTTGGGATTCAAAGCTTAGAGTTCCTTCCCTTAGGGAGGGTCCCTCCCTTGCTTCTCACCCCACAGTGTGTGGGTCTGTGTGTTGGAGCAGGAGGAGGGGCCAAGGAGGGGCAATCAAGAGTCCGCCTTTCTATGCAGAAGGTGGTATTACAGGACACAGAGAACTCGGAGGAAGGAGCAGCTGCCTTCAATTCTGCCTCTGTTTACCCACCGTGTGACCTTGTGCAACTGAACCTCAGTTCCCCCATCCCGACAGCAGACAAATGTCCCAACACGTCATAGTTTTCAGATATAAATTCTTCTAAGAGTTGAACAAAGAGGCAATTTAATAAATCCAGTACCCGCAGGACTTAAGCAATGAGTATCAATCTAGGAATGGGAAAGCTGACAGAAATGGCTGCCAGATTCCAAAGGACTAGCTGAAGGCTTTCCTGTTCCTCTGCTTCTCCTCTCTCATAAATCCCTCCTGCGGCAAGTTGTTCCCTTCTTTCCTGTGCCTTGGCTCCACACTCACAAGGATTCCTGAGAGCTTATCCGCTGGACCCTTGACTCCTGAAGGCATTCCTGTGGTCTCCTAGTGCCATAGCAATTTCACCAAAGTCTTCTTGGCTACCGGATAGTGAGTAAGAGGGAAGGGCAATGGTAAAGAACCTCATATATCATGCAGTTGATATGAATTTCCTAAAGAAGGCTTTTGTGAGGAATCGCCACTATGCCCCAGAGGTTGCCAGAGTTTCATGCTCATTCCTACATTGATTTTGTTGAGTTTAACCGCTCTGATCATGAACATTTTCTGAGTACATACATCCTTGTTTAAATTTATTCCAAGGTATATTTTATGCAATTGTAAGTGGAATTTTTTTTGTTTGTTTCCCTTTCTGATAGTTGATGATTGGCATATATAAAAAAATGCAACTAATTTCAGGGTATGTATTTTGTATTCTGCCACTCTACTGAATTCATTTATCAGTTCTAGTCGTTTTTTGGTGGAATCTTTAGGGTTCTCTACATAAGGCTCTGGTACATTTACACAATGGAATACTACTCAGCCATAAAAAAGAAGGAAATCTTACCTTTTGCAACATGGATAGGTATGAAGGGTATTATGGTAAGTGAAATAAGCCAGTCAGAAAAAAGACAAGTACCATATGATTTCACTTATATGTGGAATGTAATGAACAAAATAACTAACAAACAAAACAGAAACAGGCTCACAGATACAGAGAACAAATTGACAGCTGTCGGAAGGGAGGGGGGTTGGAAAGCTAGGTGGAAAAGGTGATGGAATTAAGAAAAACAAAACAAAAAACCTCATAGACACAGACAACAGTATAGTGATTACCAGAAGGAAAAGGAGGTGGGGGTGGTGGAAGAGGGTAAAAGGGGATAAATGGTGGCCAAACGAGATCATCTGACTTTGGATGGTGAACACACACATACATACATACATACATACATATACATACAGACGATGTATTATAGAATTGTACACCTGCACCTATATAATCTTATTAACCAACGTCACCCTAATAAATTCAATAAATTTTAAAAAAAGACGAAACGTTAAAAGACACCCAATCTGGCAAGAAAACAACAGTGGGGAGGACTCAGGAGGGCACCTGGAGCCACAGGGAGCTCAGGTGTGCGGCTGGGTACCTTGATGTAGGCTCGCTGCAGGTAGTTGTAGGGCACTCGGCGCTGGAAGTCGCTGCGCACATCCTCGCTGACCTGGTGGCGGGACGCGGGGCCACCGAGGCGCTGGGACGATTGAAATTTCTTTTGAGAGCCAAATTTTTTAAACTTAAACTATATAGGTAGGTACATTGTTATTAACTTAATTAGGGTACTCCTAAGGCTTAGGAAGAGCCACACTCAAGGGGCCAAAGAGCCGCATGTGGCTCGCGAGCTGCAGTTTGCCGACCACTGCCCTAGGTGATTCTAATATGAAGCAAAGATTGAGAACCACTGATCTAGAGTCAATGTCTTAGTTCAGAAAATAATTCAGGGCTCCAGGTGCTGTGGAGGATTCATGAATCTGAGATGTACCCTCTCTCCATCTGCCTTTCCCAAGGACAATCTGATCTGCCTTTGAAGCCTAGATTAGGACCAAAGTTCATGGCAATATGGTGATAAGAGTCATGCAGGGCCAAGAAGTTGATTTCAAAGGATGCTCTGCCCAGTGGAATCAACTCTGTGTTGAGAAAGACAATCCTCCCTGGATCTCTCGAACTCCTGCATGTCTTGCTGGGTATGCCGAGATGGCACTTCTTTACCAGAGCCATTTCCTAGTCAAATGACTTCCCTCTCAGAGTTTCTGACTCACTAAGTTTGGGATGGAGCCTCAAAATGTTCATTTCTAACAAGTTCCTTGGTGATGCTCCTCAAAATGTTCATTTCTAACAAGTTTCTCTTGGTGCAAGAATCATACATTGAACTCCGTCAATACAATTCTTTATGAACAATGGTTGCCAAACTTTGTTGTGTACAAAAAAACAAAACAAAAAAAACTAATAAAATACATAGAGGCCCTGGCTTTTGAAATAGAAGTAAATCTGGGTCTTTATGTTTTCACCTAAGTTCCCCAGGGGTTCTGATAGCCGCCAGTGTTTGAGAATCAGTGTTTTAGTGATTTTTCTCCCCTGAAGACATTGTTGGTTGTCACTAGGGCAGGGGAGTACAGTTGTACTACTGGCATCTAATGTGCTAATCATCCCTAGACGAAGAGGACAGCCTCCCATGACAAGGAATTGTCCAGCCTAAAGTATCAACAATGTACAAGTTGAAGAACCCTGGGATAGAATATAGTTTGAGCTCTGCAAGTCTTATTCAATTGCTTTTTTTTTTTTTTACTTTTTCTTTTCTTTTTTTTTTTTTTTCTAACAAGTTCCTTGGTGATGCTCCTCAAAATGTTCATTTCTAACAAGTTTCTCTTGGTGCAAGAATCATACATTGAACTCCGTCAATACAATTCTTTATGAACAATGGTTGCCAAACTTTGTTGTGTACAAAAAAACAAAACAAAAAAAACTAATAAAATACATAGAGGCCCTGGCTTTTGAAATAGAAGTAAATCTGGGTCTTTATGTTTTCATAAGTTCCCAGGGGTTCTGATAGCCACCAGTGTTTGAGAATCAGTGTTTTAGTGATTTTTCTCCCCTGAAGACATTGTTGGTTGTCACTAGGGCAGGGGAGTACAGTTGTACTACTGGCATCTAATGTGCTAATCATCCCTAGACGAAGAGGACAGCCTCCCATGACAAGGAATTGTCCAGCCTAAAGTATCAACAATGTACAAGTTGAAGAACCCTGGGATAGAATATAGTTTGAGCTCTGCAAGTCTTATTCAATTGCTTTTTTTTTTTTTTACTTTTTCTTTTCTTTTTTTTTTTTTACAAATGAGGACATTTAGGCCCCTCTGGTCACATAGTTAGGTAGTAACAGGAGCAGTATACTTGATTTTATATACCAAAATTTAAAACGTGTATTGAATGTCATGGAGCATTGGATGATATAGCCTTGTGAATTTTTTTTTAAGAGAAAGAAAGCATGAAAAGTAAGAAAGACAGAAATGATGGTTTGAGAAAAGGAGACATTGGAAGCATCAGATGTTGAAATTCCTGCTAAGATAGGTATGAATTGGAAACTTGTGATTTCTCTATTGTTTCCCATTTTTTATAAGATCAGAGAACAGCCAAAACCCAAGAAAATCCATTCAAAAATGTTAAAAGGGATTCAACCACTTCCTTTTTTATTTTATTTGGAATGAAACTTGACAGAAGCTTGAATTTCCTTTTGACTTCTGTTTACAAGTCAACAGCATCATGGCACCAGCTTGCTTTAGGGAACCTCCAGCAGGAAGGAATTCAGAAAAGAGCTCTTCAAATTCTTATTATTTTCCCCAAATCAGCTTTGCTTTTCAAAGATGACTCCTCTGTTTCCTGCAAAATCCTTATGGAACAATAAAAAAAATGTACTCAAACTCCAGCAGGAGACTCCATTGATAGTGGACTCTTTCAATAAGCAAATCTAATATTAGGTTATTTTGATCATGTGTAACCAGGGCTCTTGCTTGCCCCAAACAGCTTTGATTCCTTTGAAATGAAAGGATTAATTCTCAATACACAACAACCCAACCCTGTTCAGCTGCTGTTGATGCTGGCGACAAGGGAGCTGTTTTGAAGACGTGTTTTTTTTCCCCTTATACAAATAGGATCATCTGAAGACTTTTTTTTCTCCAAGTTAGTGTGAAAGGCAAGCCACTAACAGTCTGTCAACATAAGAGAGGGAGAGAGCGAGAGAGGAAAAAAAGGCCTCCCTAGAAGAAGAGTGTTTTTTTAGAAAAAATTAATATTTAACTTACATTTAAAATCAAACAGGAGCTGCCACATTCCAGGACTGTCTGTTCCTTTCCAGTTTCCTTAATAGCCCTGTCGCTGTACATACCTTAATTCCTGATTGGGCTTTAAAATTCCAAATCAAACAAAACACCGCAAACACTCTGTGCCCACACTCCTGTCATGGAGGCATTCTAGTAGTATTCCTTGGGAGACTCACATTTTAGTTGAATAAGAAACAAGTGAAATAAAGAATACTAATTATTCCCAAAATAATTGAAGCTAAAAACACAATTCAGATGTAAACCCAGAGAATTGGGCAGATCCTATGTGCTGGGTAGGAGGCCAGTTCTTTTCACAGACGTGCAGTCATTTAACTTTTAAGGGTCTCTTTGAATAAGGCATTAGTGTTATAATTATGCCATTGAGAAAGTTGAGTCTTATTAAAAGAGAAATGACTTGCCAAAGCCCAGTTTGAAAATTACAAGGCCAGGACCTATTTAGTGCTTTTCCCACTCCACTACGCTGCCTCTTTCCAAGCCTAAACTGTCTCTGTAGCTGCCGTCAACATTCTGCTTTGGTTAAACTTGGACCACATGTTTTCTTTAGTCACCAACTTTGCTGTATGCTTCTCATTCAGCTAGAGTCACAGACTGATAAAAATGTTCTTCAGGATAAATATAAACAAGGTGTGTGTGTGTGTGTGTGAGAGAGAGAGAGAGAGAGAGAGAGAGAGAGAGAGACCATTTGTATTAGAGGCTGATTATGACTGTGAACTCAACTTGATAGGTGACGTAATGACGTAAGGAGAGAGAGAAGAGAGAGAGAGACCATTTGTATTAGAGGCTGATTATGACTGTGAACTCAACTTGATAGGTGACGTAATGCGGATAGAAACAGTCATGACCACCAGAGAACATAAACAGGTCTTCAATCATATCTACATAAGAGATGCCAGATTGCTTCAGATGGATGCAAAGAAAAACCTTACCTATTAGGAATTCTGGGAGAGAAGATTATTCTGTATGTGTATGTAATCCATCATTCTAAGATTACCCCCGTGCCCTGCCTATCTTTGAGACCCCCTTCCCATCTCCATCCCTGAATGCTTCATAGCAGAATTGGTGCTGAATTCATGTTCTGAGTCCACGTTCTGAACTTGTTCTGCATTCTCTCTTACCAGTCTGCTCTGCCTTTAAACTCTAGTTTAGAAATTAAATCCTTGTCTTAGAAACTAAACATTTGTCCTCTCTTGTTTGGGTATATTAAGGTTTATAACTAATCATTTATCTTTTTTTTTCAACTTCAATTTTGGAACCACTTGGGTAGACCCAGAAATGGAAGTAATAAATACCCAAATATTACCATTATTGCTGAAAAGCAGGTTTGGAGGGTATGGGTTTTAATATGCAGTAAATGGCCTGTTTATTCCTTCTGCCGCCCACATCCTCAAATCAAACTTGGCCACTCTCAGGCAAGCTAGGAAACTTCTGAAATATTACTCTAGAATTTCCCTCATGAACACAGATAAGGAAAATAGGAGCTCCCCTCCAACATTCTGTTTATCTAATTAGAATAATCACCCCACAGCCTCTGAAGTGGCGCTCATGCTATTCCTTGCTTGCTCAAAGACCATTTCTAAACCCAGCCCCTGTTTCCATCTGTAAGGCATCACTAAGCCAGTAACCTGCCTGGACCAGCACCTAGTTCTTGCTGACAGAATGCTTGGGATTAGCTTCATCTCTCTGCTGTTAGACCCTTTGTCTCATCTTAGAGCCACCCTTGATGCTGACTGCTTTGCTCTTGGACACCTGGCTGAATTTCAGCCTGCTGCTTGCTGATTCTGTAACCCTAAATCTGACCCACCAAAGTGTTTCAGATCAGTCATCAGGAACTTCCTTCCGAAAGGTCTACTCTGCTTCTGACTGGTCTGCAAGCCGACTCTGGCGCCTGTCTTCACTGCAGCAGAGCTATACGTGTCTCACCTCTCTGGCCTCAGCTTCCGGAATTGTATCATGTACCCATTTCCAGGAAAACATAGGCTGCTGCAGTTTCCACATTGTAATGATTGTAATGGGGACCTACATAGAAGGCCAAATACAAAAGGCACAGGAAGAAATATAAAGCTATTATTTAAGTGGTAGAGAATTTGTGTTGAATTTCTTCATAGCATTAAACTTTCATCTTTGTTCAGATTTAAGTAACATTAATTGAGATTTTTGAGCTGGGAACATTTTGTGATTTTATTTGATCCTTGGGGTTGGAGGATGGGGAGAAATTAAGGATATATTATTATGAAGACTTTACAAATAAAGAAATTTTGGTAGAAAATGTTTAAATGTTCACAATGCACATGAGTTGGGGAGTCAGGACTTGAATCTGAGTCCGGAGCCCACTTACTGAAGAGTGCATACTTCTCTTAGGG